GAAATAACAACAATAGACAGGATGTTTGGATAAAAAACTAATGTGATGAATAATTGTTTATGCAATCAGGGATTAAATATGTAGAAATAGTAAAATGACAAAATAAACAGGAAGTGTGGATATGAAAATATGGTAGTGTAGACAGGGATTAAGAAAAACTTAAAATAACATGAATAAACAGGAAGTTTAGATAAGAAAGGCGATGGGATGGTCATTACTAAAAAAAACTTACCTGTTTATGATGGCCATGACAGGGACACGGGTTGAACGTATTTCTTTTGGATACAAAGCGTGGGTTTGAGCTTATGGATGGCTAACGCCTCAGCTATGCCCAGATGTCTTGATTTCACTCCCTTTGATAGGTTTGATTGAATCTTTTATATTACTTTGAAGGATTTTTCGAAAGGCGCTGAATGTTCTGAGTTGACCAGTTGTTCTGTCACTGAACTGTATACACGTTTTTGGTCCCCATTTAAGACAGTCAAAAGTGGACAAACTCCTGTTACCTCCAACTGTATCTACCAATTTACATGTACGTGCCAAAGCACATGCATTGTAACATGCATCTCTGAACACATGCCAAAGAACTTGAGGCTAAAGAGCCCACAAGCACTAAACGGTGCAACTGTACACCATCTACTGGACACTGGCAGTGTTGTAAATGCGTTCAAAATAATCAGTAGACAAAAGAAACCTAATCTGCTTCGTTTTGCTGAGGCAATCGCCATCAAACGGCTAAAACCAAATCTATGTTAGCAGAAAGAGAAAGTGGTGGATCTTGCACTGTCTTGGTGATAACAAAGCGCCGAAATTTCACTTTGTCAACTATTGTCCTGTTTAGAAAACTTGAATTTTTCGTCATAACATGACTCATCCTACCCCCTCCTTTCGTCTTTTGTATAAAAAGGTGTTTTTCTGTGGTTACGTAACCTATTACTTTTTATACTGTTTCTAGTAGGAAGCATAGTGAAGGACTGCAGCCTAGTGAACACAACAATCGAAAACATCATTATTACTATTGTGTAGATAGCTTGAAATTTATGCACAATAAATTAAATCCTGTCTATTCTGCCTTGTTCTACTTCAAAATATCCACTCCTAAATAAACATTTCAATTATTATTATATTGTAAATGTAAAACACGCAAACTTTTCTAAACTTTGTACTTCTATTGCCTGGAAATCAGTCTATATGAATCAAGCACAAAATTTAAAACAACAGTGAATAAACAGGAAATGCAGTCAAGCACTATCATTATTATTATTATTCATTCTATGTCTTCTGAGTGGAACATAAGGCACTCACTTCTCTGTTGTCACTTTCAACTGTCTCCACGATTGCCTACAAGCTGTAACTTCTTCCCCTTTCTTCACAACCAGTTACTTCCTATTTGGTATCTAGTCAATGTGTGATTTGATTTAAATGTCACCGCAACATATGCTCAGTCTATTTCCACTTCCTTTTAAATACTTTTTGGATAGTAGGCAATCGTTTACTGATTCCATATTAGTTTGTTTATTAGGTATATCACACAGTGAAACAGTGTTATTTACTGGATGACGTTTCGAACAAAATTTATTGTTCATAATCATATCAATTGTGATCACACGACTTTGACACTTGAGTTTTATAGTTTTCTTTGTTCTCTCCTATTTGTCGTATGGGTAGTAGAATTTTCCAGATATCGGGGACAGGTGATGAATCATTCCTATTACATGTATTTGCAGTTGATTCGATAAACAAAGCTTCTGTTATCAATCTCTCCCTCCACCCTGTGACATTAGATTTTAAAACTGTCATCCTTTCCCATCCTATTGTATGGTTGTGTGTAACTGCATGTAGTGCTATAGCTGAACTATTCTCTAGATTTCTTATCTTATTCGGGTCAACCAATCTAGATTTTGCTAGGTTTTTATGCTCCCCTAGTCTGACTGCCCCTGTTCTACTAGTTTGACCTATGTATTTGACCTGACAATCATCGCAGGGTATTAGATAAACTAAATTGTTTTGTTTTAAAGGCTCCACAGGATCCAACATTTAACCGACAAAGCTTGTTTCTAATTGAGTTTGTGGGTTTGAATGCCACTTTTATTCCTGCCTTGTTAAGAATTCTGCGTAAGGCTTCCGAGGTTCCTTCCTTGTATGGAATTACTACTGATGATTTAGATTCTTTATTGTTGGTGTCGTCATTAATAATATTATTATCATCATCACTATTATCATTATCATTATTATTGTTATTATCACTATCGCTACTATCATTATTTATTTTATTTTCACATTTCCTTACATATTTCTTGACTAATTTATCCGGGTAATTATTAAGTTTCAAGGCTTCTTTTATGTATATCAGTTCCCGTTTTAGATTTTCTTTGGTACTACTTAGTTTTTGTGCTCTGTCATTTAAACATTTCACCAATCTTATTTTTACTGACATAGGATGGGATGATCGGAAGTCCAAATATCTGTTTGAGTGTGTGGGTTTCCTGTAAACACTAGTGTTTAACTTCCCATCTTCTTTCCTCTTTACGTTGCAATCTAACATTGGGAGCTCCTCTTCCTGATTTTCCAATTCATAAGTGAATTGAATTGCTTCAACCTTCGAGTTGATGTGTTCGAAAAATCTATCTATATTTTGTGTTCTAAGTGCAGTGAATGTGTCGCCTACGTACCTCCACCATACTTTTGGGGTGGGGGTGAACGTTTGAATGGCTATGCTTTCCCACTTACCCATGAATATATCTGCTACCACTGGGGATATTGGTGATCCCATGGCAACTCCCTCACTTTGTTTGTATATTTTCCCTTGAAATTTAAATACTGTGGAAGTCAAGCATAGCTGTACTCCCAGCATTATGTCCTCAAGTGGCACTTTTGTCCTAAGTTCGAGTTCTTGGTCAGAAATGAGTTCGTTTCTGACTGCCTCCATAGCCATTCATCCAGTAAATAATACTGTTTCACTGTGTGATATACCTAATAAACAAACTAATATGGAATTACTTACTACCACAGTGCCTAAGTTTTACCCATATATTAAAATCGTTTACTGAATTACTATCCGTCAGAGTTCCGTGTTGTTCAACATTTCCAACAGAGTTTCTTATCTTCAGTATTAAGGCTGTTAAGCAGGCAGGTGTTCATTAGCCTATCGGAAATTCATTTGATGATGCGCACATCAATTCTTTGAAGCATATAGAAACAAAAACACAGAGTGACTTCATATGATTTTGTAAAATTTGGATGTCAATCCTTGTTTCTAGTGCTGTGGATTGCAGTGAATTCTTATCTAGCTTTCCAGATGACAGAACACCATTAATGGTATTACATGTTATAAACTGATCAACAATAATTTCGCACTAATCAAGATTGACTGAAATCAACCGACATGTTACTAAGCTACTGAAATACATTAGAATAAATGTATGCAAATACCAATTCACACGTAATTGTACGTATTTCTGAATGAGTTACAATCAGCCATGGAGATTGTGTCTATCAGCAGTCGTCTACAATGCGAAAGGTCAAGGTGTTAAGTGTTTAATTGTTAATCAGTCATTGGTGAACTGAGATAGGTTATTGTCAAAACTACTGGTATGGGTTTAGTCATCAAAAAGCTTGTAAACTAGAGTTATTTAAGAATTTCTACCAAGTATACAATATCAAATACAAATCTTTTGAATGAATTCAAGATATCCTTGGACAAGTATAGTCTTTAGCTTGTATTACTCATATATATATATATATATATATATTTGACTAAAATGAAATAGTTCGCTCTGACGCAAGTACAAATAAGCGAAATTTTACTTTTGTATTCGTCAGTTGCTCTCATCATTTTCATCGAAATAATTTAATTGATTAGTGTCTGGAGAATTGGTTGAGTTTATTATAGATTCTTTGATGTATGCAAATAATCTAGCGAACTCTACTATTAGGCATCAATCAACAATGGATAGGGTTTTTTTTTCATTTAATTGTAAGACTTGTCAGAAGAAAACACCTAATTAATTTTTTTCTGAATTTCATTGTCTTTTCGTCTCTTCTCACTTCACCAACCCCAAGTAAAAAAATATACATATAAGATTGATTTTCATGGACAAATATAAAGTCCATGATGTGACAAAGACATTCGACCAGTACGTAGCAGTCACCATCATTTGAAGAAGTTTTCTATCTCACCTACCTGAAAAGCATCTTTTCAACTATAGGCGGCGACACAGCAGAGAATGTCAAAGCCAGACAAGATCGAGGAAGCAAGATAGGCGTTTATTACTCTGAAATCAATGGAAGAGATAGATTGGAGATACACTAGGAAGACATTAAGTAATATCAACCTCTTGATACGTCATCGAATAGATTGCAAACTCAAAGAAACGTCTTCGATGTGTCAAGGTGAGATGGATGAGATCTTGCTAAGAGAGAATGAAAGATTGTGAATAACCGTAGGTCAGCTGCAAGTGAGGACAAACAATAGAGTGCAGTGGAAATGTTCTGCTGAAACTTTATGTTCCACTAGGCACACTAAGAATGAATAATAAGTTAATTACAGTGATAATATGAAATCGCAGTTTTTATATTCTACTGAATACAGTCGCTTTATCTTCCACAAACTGTGCTCTTATGAATCATGTTCAGTTTAGTCAATCATTAAAAAAAATTTATGTATGTTCCTTTCACTATATTTCATCGAAATGTCTATTTGCCATGCAAAAACGAATCTTTCAACTCTATTTTACACTCCATACAACAGAATTTTAACGAACGGCTTTTCAGACTGATAAGTAAGTGTTTGAAGAAGGATTGTGTGAGACATGAACTTGTAAATCTAAAACTCTGGACCACACACACACATACAGACAGTCAGCTTTGAAGAATAACAAATCGTTTTTACCACCTAGTATTTCTAGGATCTATTTTAGCACAGTGTTTTTGAAACTGCAAAGATAATTCCATACTTGTTGTGTCTGCCTTATACGTCTGTATGCATTGAATTTTTTCAGGTTTGGAGAGAATTTGATAAAGATCACAGTGGCTTCATCGAAGCGGATGAATTAAAGGTATGCATGACAAGCTAGGAGTGCATTTTTCTTTCGGTTAATATTCTATTTTCTACAAAGTGTCACTGGATTGCAGACTTTTTTGTTACTGAAAAAAGAATATTCTTTTCGATAACTTCATCATCAGATTCTACGGTTATATAAGCATCCATAAAAAGGGAATGAATTAGTGTTATTAACAACATTGATGTTGTTTAAATAACATCGAATTAACAATAATATCAATGGATTACAGTTAGACAGCATCAACATAACACTACACTGAATATCAAGCAAACTCGTATACTTTGTAACAGGAAGGTCCTGTGTTCGAACCCTCACAATGGATGCGTACTGCCTATGATTCCCAAAACTCCCTGGTTTTCAATGGTTCTCTAACTGATATCAATCCATGATCAACTAATGATCTAATCCCTACAAACTAACTATTGAAAATACTCTGAATATCAGAAAAATTAGGAAAAATAATAATACAAATTCATGAATTTATACTCTCCACTGAAGGGTAGGGTGGTATTAGTGGCTGGACTTGCTTCTTCCGCATACAGAGCACCGTTTGTTTAAAAGCGAATCGTAATAGTCTTCGTTGTTTGGAGCATGTGATACCTGGATGTTTTTGACAATTTATTTGGTACCCGGTAGATGATAGAGAAGGATTCTTCAATGCTGGCTTTTTGGCCAGTCCACCACCTGGTCCAAACTGGCTACAAAATTGGCAGTGAAGAATTCTTCTCCACCCACTGCGAGGGTTCGAACATAGGACCTTCCTGTTACAAAGTATACGAGTTTGCTTGATATTCAGTGTAGTGTTATGTTGATGCTGTCTAACTGTAATCCATTGATATTATTGTTAATTCGATGTTATTTAAACAACATCAATGTTGTTAATAACACTAATTCATTCCCTTTTTATGGATGCTTATATAACCGTAGAATCTGATGATGAAGTTATCGAAAAGAATATTCTTTTTTCAGTAACCATTCTTTTGAAAATGTTTAATGGGCATTTATTTTGTTATTGTTGAATTCTAATTATTTTTGCTATTACTTTGAGTTATCCTACTGGAACATTGGCTTCGTAAGCTTGAGTTTTGAAGTTTCAATAGCCGTAGTAATACTTTCTACGGGATGGAGTTGCCACCCTTAAGCTCAGCTGTCCCTTCCTACCCGGTTCACTAGCAAATTAGCAAGGTTGAAATGAGTGATTCGGTCGTCGGGAGTCAAATGATGACTATGTGTTCGGTTGGAACGTATTCGACTACTGAACTATCAATACACAGATCTTCTTGAGGTAACAGAATATTTTATTTGTAGTTCATTCATTCCTTATCCAGGTATATCCAGTTACGAAGTAATTAGTATCAGTTATATTCAAAACACATCTGTTAAATAAGAATATTCTGGAGTTTTGTTAATAAGGAATTACTACGAAAGTGCAAAATCTCATTCGAATTCATGTTCACAATCTTTTTCACTTTTCCTTCGGTTAGAATAATCACCACCATCTGCACAAGGTCCACCAAAGTGCAAACATTATCCTTGATATTTAGCATTACTTTGAACCCTTTTATAAACTTGATGATGACAGTTGAAATGACCAAACTGACTGAAAGCAATATAAAACCAGTATAATCAGCTATTCTTTAGTATTAGCCTTCTATGATTTTCACTGACTTAAAAGGCTATCCTATCTAACAAAAAAGTATAAGAAAATGGCTAAGATAAACAGCCTGGAGATAGCATGAAGTTTCCAATTAGATTTTTACTATATTATAAAGTTGGATTTCAGATAAATTCGTGAACTTTTAAGAGTGGGTTTATAGGTCAGTGAAGTCAGTTACAGCAGGATAGTTCGTTCCAATGTTCATGAAATGACATATGTTATAAACATAATTTTTTCGATAACTGACATCAGAATTATGAATTTAAACAATATTTTAATAAGATATCTGTTTGAATGACTTCAAAGTTCATGCTAGTCTGCAGTCTGTTAACGTTACTTCATAGTCATATCTAGACAAAAAGTTTCAAATTTCAACAATATCAAAATGCTATTTTCTTGATTTTTATGACAGTATATGTACCCTATTGTTTTTACTTGTATTCTGGTAGTGCTAGTTCAAACTCGGATGTTTAGGAGTATTCTATATCATCTCTCACTTATCATTACATTAATGTGTTTCTAGAGATTTCAAAGCAGACAAATAAGAGTTAACGTTGAGGGACTTATGTGTCAGTATGAAGAATGACTACAAAGAAATAGGAAAAGAAATAACGTTGGCTTTATTTGGAATAACCTCGCCGATGATATTCTTAATTGTGGTGGACCAGATTATGCAGAAGACTGTGCACTGGGAGTGAGAAGACAGGAATACGCTGCACTGATCGAAAAGAAGATTCCAAAAGATATGAATTTCCCGCGTGGATGATTTAGGAATAATGTCAAACAAACCCAAAGATTTGGAGGCAGGCGAAAACCAGCAAACTGGCAGAAGAAGGAGACAGCGAAGACAGGACACCAATCACCATTAACGGGAGAGATTTCACATAGGTCACTTCCTTCCTTCACTTATCTAGGCAGCACTGTTTCAACCAAAGGCAGTCGGAATGGATGAAGATGTCAAAGCCAGCCAGTCAACCAGAATCGGAAAGGCAAGACACCTGAAACCAGTTTGGAAATCTTCTGGTCTTACTCAGCAGCATAAACAACAAGATTCCGATTTTCGACACAAATGTGTAGTCGGCCAGTCATTCTTCTGTATGGGTGAGAAACTTGGCCAATGAGTCACGGAAAGGATTTCCAACAAGTTACTTTATTAAAGAAATAAATGATCGTGTAGTTGTAAATATACTCCAAGTGGTGTGCGTCTGAAAAGTCTTGTAGTCTTGTGTTAGTTTGCAAACGTCACAGTCAAAAAAAACAATGAAATAAGCTGAAGATTTGTTTAAGAACTCCACAAAGTCCTTCGCTGATACTCTTACATCTTTAATAAGATAATGGAAGCTTAACTTTATTCATATAGTTATCTGGAAATCACTGACATCTAATTATTACTAAAGTACAAACATGATATATTATGGCAGTTAGTGATGTACTACAAAATCGCATAGTTTTTTTGAGGACTAGACTACTACCCCGATGCCTAGACCAAAGTGAAGGTTGCCTTAAGAGGCCACACCTTATCCTGAAACCTTTAGCTTGAAGCCTAATCGACAAGTCATTGAAGCTGTGTTCTCATAGTTGCCAGTGACATGAGCAGAGTCATACTCCATTCTATCCTTTCGGATTCTTGAACCCATTTACAGCAGAGATTCGCACTCAGAGTCTCCAAACTCCTCTAGAAAGACATGCATATCCACCAATCCATTTGTAAGCACCAAACGTTCGAATTCCCTCTTTCGCTTTCCTGACGAACAACCCCACTAATCGTTGGTTGTATTTAAACATCGTGTGATTACCCCGCATATAGGGTCAAGTCTGTTTGTATTCGATTCCGAAATTAAAATGTTAAGCTTGTCACTATCACTTAAGTCTGACTGTTTTAAATTCCAAGACTCATGAATTCTCAATTAACTGTTGACGCAGATAAGATAACCTTTGGGTTTTTTACTATCATTACTAAGTTCGTACTTGCATAGTCAATGTATGCCTGAATCATTGTTAGTTTTTCTTTCGTTGTAAAGGACTTCCTCACAGAACTTTTATCTACTGGGACAACTCAAAAAGATGAGAAATTCGATGAGAAAATTATTGAATACACTGATACAATTGTAAGCATAAATTTGCTTTCTTGTTTGATGTTTTAGTTTTAAAACTTAGAAACGTGTTTCTCTTTCATTTTTCTAAGCAAACAATTTATTCAGTAGACGTTATGAGTATTTTTTTTTAATGTTCACCAATTTCTATTAATTACAGACTAATATAATCAGGAAAAAAATATTTGTGTGTTATTTCACGGTATAGTGGTTACATAATTCTACTTGTTTTACCGCTTACACACTGTTTACATAAGTGGACAGGCAGTCACTGAAGTGAAAATTTGATCCACCAAATAGTAGAGTTTTTAAGGGACAGACTTTAAACACCGAAAGTAGAAATCATTCAACCTCTCTCTCTCTTATAAAATACTTCTCCGGCCTTGTCATACTTCGAAGTGAACACAGGAGTAAGACAAAGCTGACTGCTTGCCTATTATCAATAATGATATTTCTGATTGTGGTAGACTGGATTATGTGTCATACTGTGCACAGGGAGAGAGAAGACTCTAGAAGAATTGGATTTCGCACGTGGATGATTGATGCTTAATGTCACCCAGACTCGAAGACTTCCAGGCAGATGAAAACCAACAAACTGGCACAAGAGGCTGTCTGGCTGGTTGGCAACGAAGACAGGACTCATCCAGGTGAATGTAGAGAAGGTTGAGACGGAGGTGATGAAGATAACCAACCACCACCATCAGCGACAGCAACAACAACTAGCGCCAATCACCATTAACGGGAGAGATTTGACAGAGGCCACTTCTTTCCTTCACTTATCTAGGCATCACTGTTTCAACCACAGACAGTTAGAAAGGATGAAGATGTCAGAGCCAGCCAGCCAGCCAGCTTGCCAGAATCCGAAAAGCAAGATATGCTTCCATCAATCTGAAACTGGTCTGAAAATCTTCTGCACTCAGACAACGTGAAGAACAAGATTCAGTTTTTCAAGATGAATGTGAAGTCAGTCAATCATTTCTTCTGCATGGGTGAGAAACTTGGCCAGTGAGTCACGGAAAGGATTTTCAACAGGCAGCTGCAGACTTTAATCAACAACTGTCTTCAACAGCTGGCTCCATACTGAAGATCGAATGGCCGGCCAGCCGGTGACCCTAGAAAGACTTAGCAACGAGAAACTCATCAGTGGAACAAATCAGCGGAGAGCCTATTGCTGAAAAAATGTGTAAGAGGAAATGGAGGTGGATTGGGCATACGCCACTGATAGGCCGTTGAATGACATGGCGCACCATTCAGTCTATCGCTCGAGTGGAATGTGGATGGGAAGTGATGAGTGTGTCGTCGGTGAGAGGGTGACATGAAGGAATCGTGCTATGTGAGGAGGAGGTGAGATATTATGGATCTAGGAGCTTACCAGCTGAAGAGGACAACAGAAAATAGAAAACATTTTGGATGTGTTGCTGAAGCCTCAATTTCCACTCGGAACCCAAGGTCATTGCAGTAATAATAGTAATTACTTGAGTTTTGATTAGAACTTAGGACTTCAGGGTTGAGTATTTGAATTTTCAGAAGAGCTGTGTTTAAGGATGGAGTTGCTAGCTTCTTATCTCGCCTTCCTGCTTTTTATGGTTTTCTATCAGCTAGGAAATTGGGCAGGGTTTAGGGAATGCATCTTCGGGGAATCGAACCATGGACAAAGTAAGCGGTCGGTGATCATTCTACCGGTAAACCACAGACGCATTAGTAAATACTATATGCTTGTCAATGAACGAAAAGACACACCTAATCTTCTAGTTCACTGATCTACTTTGAGAAAACTTGCATTGTCTTAAGATACAGACTAACTCTCTGCGAGTTACTGGTTTTTAGTGAGACCTTTCGAGTGACTGAATTTGAATTTCACGGCAAACATGTAAGGTTTTTAAAGCTGTCAAATCCATCAGGAGTACACATTCTTCTGATAACTATCAGTTTCGCTTGCTTGGAAAGCCTGCCTAATACGCTTTATAATTCACTTTATTAACAACAAAAGACCTGATATTTCATACTATCTCACTATCAGTAAACTTAGTTTATATGAGCCGAAGTCGTGGTGATTACCAAGTGTCTATTTGATTCAGGCATTATTCGAAAATGATCAAGGGACAGGTAACATTTAAAAAAAACTTATTCTCAAATATCAGAATTTAATTTCCAACTAGTGCTCATAAATTGTTGTAAAACCTATGAAAAATTTATTTTCAGCGTACACATAATGCAAAGAAATTTAGATAAAAATACAAGACTAAAATATGTTTGCGTCATAACTGAATCAGTGAAGAACGCATCTAGCCATCCAGGAGATCTTTCTGGGTTATTTCCCAATGACTTATCGGTCTACGAGCTCGCCTTTTAACCAGAAGGTCTTGCGTTCGAACCCAGCAGTGTGGGTGCGTATTGCTAAATAGTCCCAAGCTATGATGAATCAACTGCCCAGTACTCCCAGGTTTTCCAATGGTTCTCTAAGTGATGTAAGCTCATTTTGAAATCCTCCAACTTATGAATATACTTCACCAACTTTATTATAAAAAAGTCATTTGGCAGTATTAATGTGGGACATTACGAAATGGACAATATGAAAGTTGGGATTTTTAAATTATTTAAATCGTATTCTGTTATAATAATAATAATAATACTAAAAATAATTCGTCTTCTTCTTCACATCATACTTTTCTGTTTCAGCTGAAACTGTTTGATCTCAATCAAGATGGAAAGTTACAATTGAGTGAAATGTCCCGGTAATGTTCACTGCAGTTTTACTGTTTCTGCTTATATAAAATAAGTTGAATTTATTCTCATTTCAAGGTTGACGATTCGATTGTTTTCAAAAATGCTGTGATTACAGACCAACACATGAATTAGACCGCCATTGAAAACCGAATACTTGAGTTAGGAAAGTTCTGCTGTCAGTGACTGATGAAACGTTAGGATGTTATTCCTAATACATGTGTTTGCAGCTTCGGTTAATTATTTCTCCCTCCAGTGTGCTACACTGGATTTAAAAACTGTCATCTTATCCCATCCTGTTGTATGATTGTGTGTAATTGCATGTAGTGCAGTGCTATAGCCGAACTATTCTCCAGATTTAGCTGCGTTTTTGTGCTCCACTAGTCTGACTGACTGACGCATTCCTACTACTTTGACCTGACAATCATTCCAGAAGGGTATTATATAAACTGAACTGTTTTGTTTAATTGGCTCCACAGGGTCCTTTAACCAACAAAGCTTGTTTCTAATGGAGTTTGCGGGTTTGAATGCCACTTCTATTCCTACCTTGTAAGAATCCCGTAAGGTTTCCGAGGTTTCTTCTTTGTACGGAAGTACTACCGATGATTTATGGTCCCTCTTGTTGGTGTTGTCATTATCCTGTACATGTTCGACATGCATGTCACCATTAATATCATTACCGTTGTTGTCACTATCACTATCATTATTAATAATTTTATTTTTACATTTTCCTAAATACTTCCTGATTAATTTATCAGGGTAGTAATTAAGTTTCAAAGCTTCTCCTATATTCTTCACTTCTTGTGCTCTAGTACTTAAATATTTCACCAATTCCATTTTCACTGACATAGGATGGGATGATCGGAAGTCTTAATATCTGTTTGAATGTGTGAGTTTTCCGCTAACACTACTGTTTAATTTCCCATCTCCTTTCCTTTTTACGCAACAATCTAATATTGGAAGCTCGCCTTCCTGACTTTTTGATTCATAAGTGAATTGAATTGCTTCAACCTTTAATTTAATGTGTTCGAAAAGTCTATCTATATCCTGTGTTCTAAGTATAGTGAATGTGTCATCTACACACCTCCACCACACTTTTCGAGTGCAACTGAAGGTTCCAGTCGCTAAGTTTCCGCACGTATTTATGAATATATCTGCCACAACTGGGGATACTGATGACCCCATGGCAACTACCTCAGTTTGTTCGGAAGTTTTCCCTTGTAATGTAAAGACTGTGGAGGTGGGACTTTTGTTCTAAGTGCAATTTCTTGGTCAGAAATCGAATCAACTGCAATAATACAATACTAGGAGCGCAGTTATGCCTAACCTCCACAGCATTTACCTTACAAGGGAAAATTTCCGAACAAACTGAGGGAGTTGCCATGGGGTCGTCAATATCCCCAGTTGTGGTCTTAAAAATATTTATTACATCATACAGTTTGTTACAACTGCAGTATGTGTGTATTAGGTTAGATTTTTATGTGTGCATGAATAAATTTTCTGAATATATTTACAAATATTTAATTCATTGTAGATTTTCCCATCGACTGATTGGACCGAAGTGCTTAGTCTCTTTGGGAACTGGGTTCCAATCTCGGTGGGAACACCTTCATTGACTCACTTGGGTATCCAGGTACATCCAGATGACGAGTCCCAAATAGGACAGGCGAAATGCGCATCCTGGATTCCACTGTTCGTCACCATCCAGAAACTGACTTCATATTTACAAATAACTTGGTGGATGATTACTGATGGTGGAATCAAGGATGCCCATTTCATCCATTTTTACGTCTAACCAATCAACAGGTAAATCAAAATTTACCCAAAGACAATTATGCATAAATAAATGTTTGGCAACATTAAACAGAACCAGTGACCCTGGCACCACTGATTAATAAGATCACCTCCCATTGCATTTCATTTTACAATTATACATTATATATATATATATATATAATTTGGTAATTTACATTTTTTCAGCCTAATTCCAGTTGAAGAAAACTTTCTGTGTCGGCCAATATTCAAACATGGCGGAAGAGTAACAGCAGCTGATGTAGATCGTGTATTCGCCTTGTATGACACTGTAAGTTTGCATAATTCCTATAATATATCCGATACAGCTGTACTGTTAGATGTACGAGAACAGTCGTATAACAGAAGTCTATCGCAATAAATCCTATTTACTAACTTCAAATTTGGAAAAAGAACATATGTCATCCGATATTTAGGCTCAAAATACTTTACCGTACATATTTTAACTTAAACAGTACTTTAAAATTGATCTGATGCTCACTAGTGACTGGCCCTATTCAGGTAGTGACCTGGGGTTCTAGTGATAAGTCGTGACCAGTAGGGTGAATCAGGTTGAAGGTGATACACTAACTCATGGAAGAAAGCATTGTGAAGTGGTCGCGCTATATCATGAATTGGAAGAAGTTAGAATTCACGGGCTGGCTATCGGGGCGGGTCCCAGTAGCTTAGTGCTCTACAAGCTCACCTTGTAACCAGGAGGTCCTGTGTTCGAACCCTGGATGGCCCATCCTGCTGAAGAGTCCCAAACTAAGACGAGACACCTGCCCAGTACTCTCAGGCTTTCCAGCTCATGATGAAATCCTGTAACCAGTTAAACAGTTAGTCCTGAAGTCTTCAAGACTCTCAGATAATTTTATTTGCAAAACAGATGTAGCATGTATAAATGGAGACTGCTCAGTCAGGTTATTCACTTTCAATGACTTATCTTGAACAGATTACAAACAGTTGACAGTATAAAAGAGAATAGAACACTAATAGTTCAAACTGTAGTCAATGCAAATGTATATCCAGTATACTGAACAAAGATTACAATGATAATTTCTGTACAGTTTTTGTCACTGAACCATAGACAAATTATCAACACAACTTTAGATAAGCAACAACATGTTGCACAACTCATATCAAATTTCTTGTAGCTCTATCGTCTGTATAGAATATTGTTTTAGTATGTCAATTTATCATAGGAAATAATGGTGTCTATTAGTGGAATTACTTGAAGGATAGGTAATCGAGTGGACTATGTGCACGACTGATAAGATATACAGATTGACTTTGATTGGTCACTAAGTAGAAATCGATACCATGAGTTTAGTTCTTAGGTTGGTACAGACTGAATTCTGTCACTTCTATAGAAGGCCATTGACGAAACTGAATAGGCTTAGAGGTAATGTCTCTCTCTCTGACTGCAGCACTTTAAAAAAAGAAGTTCCTTTAAGAGAGTAGATATGTCTTGCTGACTAGTGCCAACTAGCACAAATGAACCGGTTAAGTAATGCTAGATTGTAAGGGAAGTAAATGAAATACGTTTTTAATGAAGATGTGATAAGATTAAGGGATGATAAGAGAGGGTTTGAAAATATAAGTAAGGGGCAAGGGTGGAGAAGTCATCAGTTGGTTAGGTCTTAATAGGCCAATACACAGAGGATGGGTAATGGCTGTACGAACTTCTTTTGAATGCATAGTTTAGGTTTAATAGTTCGAATGCCTATAGTCTCACTTGTGTGCAGTAGACGAAAGCAGTTTCTGTTGGAAAGATTCGGTGGGATGTGATGAACTACCTTGAAAGCTTTCGTTTTCTCCACTACATGACCACTATCAACTACGTGTGACGAAATGGAGCTATGTATTGTTTTTGTCTGTCTTTCGTCAAACCACGATTGGAGATGTTCAGTTGTGACACGTTGCCTAAGCTGTCTAGTAGAAGTGTGCCCAACATAACTGTGACCGCAGTTGCAGTTGAACTGATAAATGCATATACATGTGGCGAAACCATCTAGCTTATCCTCCATTTGCGTCCCAATCATTCGGTGGATAGAGAATGACAAACATAGGTATGCTGCGTAATAAGTTCTCCGTATACTCCTGGAAAGTCTCTGGAATAAAATCTCACTTGATAAGTCACCATTAAATCGTACTATGTCTACCTGAACATTTGTCTGCTTAATCATCCCGTTTTTCGTTATTTTTGTTATCGCAGATCGCTTCACTTTTTCATCCTTGTTGCTGATAGAAGCATTATTATTATTGACTAATTACATATTTTATATGCACAGCCTTATTATCCCATAGACAAAACACCATGATTGATTTATATCATCTCTCATCTCCTCCAACTCGCACGATCTCTCCCATGTCACTGTCGCACCGACGACCCACTCATCATTCCCCATCCGCATCCCACTCGATCGATGGCGTGGCAGGTGCGTGATGTCATTCGACAGTCTCTTCAAAGTGTGCCCTATCCATCTACATATTCTACTAAATACTTGTTGAACAACAGGTCCTCGGCTAGTTTTATTCCCATAGTTTCTTGTTGCTAATTCTTTGTGGCCAGTGATTTTATCTTCAGTATGCAGTCATTGAAACAAGCAGCTGTTGATAAAAGTCCCCATCAGCCTGTTGTAATATCTTTTCGTGACTCACTGGGCCAATTTTTTGACCAGTATAAAATAAGTGACTGACTTAGTATTGGTGTTGAAAATCCGAATCTTGTTCCTTAGGCTTCTGAGTGAGAGCAGAGGATTTCCAAACCGATTGAATGAAATATATTTAGCAATTATTAGCACTAATGCAGTGGTAAAAAAACACTGAAAGTTTAATTTTATTGATGAAAAAACTATGCATAAAAGTTTAGTCTTTCATTTATCATTCATTCCTTATACATTTAAAGTGGAACACAAGGTTTCAAGCTTATTGAGCTTTTGTAAAGATCTCCAGTTTGAGCTTTAATGTTTCGGTAGTAGCTGTGTTGATTTTACAGTGTGAGGTTACCTTCTTTCGTCACCGAACTAAGTGATGGCTGGGTGATCTCTAGAAGAGTATCGGCCGGGGATAAAATGCCAGACCATATGCATGGGTGATAAATGGCGTTAATCATTTGACCATTTTGTAGTAGTAGAATCCAAGACAGGTATTTTATCCTATTTTGGATTCGTCAGCTAGATATGCTTGTTCCCTAAGTAAGTCATAGTCACATTCGAGTTCCCGTGAGAACACCAACATTACTCACTGGAAAGCTAGGACAGCTATCTCAAATAGAATGATACGCACATCTTGGATTCAACTGCTAACCATCATCTAGCAAGTAGCTTCGAGTTCCAAATCCAGGTAGCATCGAGGCATCCATCTACAGAGCTGACAAAATGCAGAGTCTACTGAACACCTTGAGCGACAATCTTCGTATGTTTGGCATGCGATTCGCCCCTGTAAAATGTAAGATGATACTGCAGGATTGGACTTCACCGACCCCTACATTAGAAATAGGAAGTGAAGTGGTAGAGCACGTAGACCGTTTCAATTACTTGGGAAGTACCATCAGCCCCAACGGGTTGATCTCCGACGAAATATCAGCACGAATACAGAGGGCTAGGTTCGCATATGCCAGTTTACGCCGTCTCTGGCGTAGACGTGACATCCGACTATCGACCAAAGGGCGTGTGTACTGCTCATCAGTCCGCTCCGTCCTCCTTTATGGCTGTGAGACCTGGCCATTGGGAGCAGAAGACATGAAAAGATTAGCTGTCTTCGATCATAGGTGTCTGCGTTCTATCTCCCGCGTGAAGTGGTATGATAAGGTGAGCAATACTGAGGTTAGGCGTCGAGTGCTAGGTAAGGCGGGGAAATCAATCGATGAGACTGTGAAATTACATCGACTGAGATGGTTAGGACATGTGTTACGTATGCCTAGTCATCGCCTTCCTCGACGGGCAATCCTAGCTGATATAGGGTCAGGCTGGAAAAGAGCTAGCGGCGGTCAAACGAAAACATGGCACCAGTCAATGAAATCCACAACAGTTAGTTTAAGCTAGCCACGTAGGAAGGTGTAGACCTCCTGGTTGGGGTCCTCGGGACGGTAAAAACCAATGACTGGAAACAATTGGTGACATGGCTCAAAATCGTTCTCAATGGCTCGTGCAGATGCATCCACTCCTTGTGACTTATGATTTCCAATGAAACTATATTGGTCTTCGTTATTACTATACCTTTGTCTCACACCTCTGTTTACCGTCTATATTATGCACTTCTCCCATTTTCTTCTCTTGCTTTGTGTGCTACATGGAGTGTGGCGACTTGAACTGCTGCACATATGTGCAAAGTTCTATGTCGAAAACCGACCGACCTACAGAGCTTATTTACGCACGTTAAGCTGGTCACATACATCAAAGGGGAGGTAAAATACATCAGTAAGTAATTTGTTTTGTCTGGCAAGTTTGGAAAATTGCTTCATTAGCTGTAAGTAGCCAGGATTTTGTTTTATTTTTCTTTAAGGATAAGAATGGAGCTATTGAAGATTTGGAGTTATACGGTTTCTTAAAAGATCTTCTTGAACTTGTTGAAGAAGTGAGTAATATTGACCAATATAGTTATTGTGCTTATGATTTTAATCATAAACAACAAATTTGACTATAAATTGAAATGAAAAAAGACTCTTCTTTTCTGCGTTTTCTTTGGTTTCCCTGAAAAAAGGAATGTTTTATGTAAGTATTACAATAATACACTAAGGTATGAAAAGTAGTACAGTGTGAAAAGGTTTTAACTGGGAACATTCACAGCACTATAAGTGGGAGTCGATCAAGTCTTACTGGAATTTTTGTTTTTTGCAAAACTTATCCCAGAGGATCTCAAGATACTGGCATGAAGATTTTAAACTATAGAGATGGATTGGATAAAGACTGAAAGGACCTATGGTTGCTGTCAAGTACCACACTGTCAATTAGGATCTGAAAATGAAGCAACAGTTTGGTTGTTCATGAATGATATGCAGAAGACTGTTTGACGAAGAAATGACAGTTTATGAGCAATCGTGAATGCGTCTCAGAATGACTGTAGCTAAACTCAGTGAAATGCTGGTGTAGTGCTGAAGTTCTGTTTTCCACCCGGAACTCAGGGAAATAATTTCCTAATAATATGCTCATCACCACTTGTTATAGTCCTATAATTCATTAGTTTTGATATAGAATTTATACTATACTGTATACTAAGGCAGTGATATGTTCATTTGTTAAATCGATTCAGTTGAAGTTAACATCTGCACAGTTAGATACCAGTAAAGCGGTTAGGACGCTCGCCGACCATACACATGGTCCGGGGTTCGATCCCCGGCCAACGCACTCCTTTACCTCGCTAGCTAGAAATAATGCTGGTAAAGAGGAAAGGCTGGGCGTGAGGCTAGCAACCCCATCCTATAAAATAAACACTACTACAGAAACTTCAAGCCACTAGCTTGAAGCCCACTGGAAACGCGAAGGAGAAAAAAATAACTTAATTAACACATACATTTATCTGTAGATTATTCTGAGGTAGATCAAATGAATTAAGGAGTATTTTAGTTGAAATGAAGGAGAAATTTCCTTTGTCGTGGTATAGTGTAAATGTCAGTTCACACATAGGCAAATATCGCAGTAAATCCAGTGAGAAAATATTAAACAACAGTACACAACGTCTTTTCTAATTTCCAAAGTATCCAGTAGAATCTCCAAAACTGGAAAAACGAAATTTCCGATCATATTATTAAGCGAAAAATATTTTTATGTATAATAGTAATACACAAATTTTAATGGAAAGGTTGAAAATTTAGGTGAACTCCGAAAAATTAATATTTTTTCACGTAGGATAGAGAATAATAGAATAAAACACAACTTGAACCGGTAGAAATCCAACCTTAGAAACCAATTACACGAGGTGGATATTGTACAAATACACACATACACATACAAAACTAAACTCACAATGTTTGCATTTGCCAGTAGTGAGAATGTACATTTTCAATGTCTGTTGTATTTCTCACTAGTTGATCAGGAAGAAGAAGAGTCTTGATTCATTTATACCATTGTAAATCCCTACTTTGACAGAGCCAATAATAAGAAATAGAGAGGCATAAATGAAACAATGTTATCCTGTTTTCTTTGCACTGTGAAAAGTAACCCTCAAAAGAAAGAATTTTTATCTCTTATTAACGCATTAGGGACTGCTGCCAGTTATTTTTTACAACCGAAAGCTGACTAACATGTTTGAATTGGAGATAGAAGAAAGGCACATTTAAGTGCTAGCACCCATGAACTTCTTAACTTGGTTAGACTGAATCGTGTGGAAGACGGTGAAGATTTAGAAGACTGAAATATATTGGGTCTACAGGAAGATTCTAGAAGGTTTGTATTTTGCAGATGATTTATGTCTCATCGATTTATTTATAGCAACTAGCAGACAACGTAAAAACGCGGAAGTTTTCATGCGGAGACAGGAAAATCAGCAGAAAGAATTCAGCTGAACATAGAGAAGACAGAATTGATTAGGATATCCGATCAACAATAAGTACCAATCATCCTGAATGAGAAAAATCCAAAAAAAGTTGTCTCTATCACTTACTTTTAGCAGCAACCACCGTTTCATTTCAAAGCCAGCTAGAATCAAGGGAACAAGACAGGCTTTCGCAACTCTGAAACCAGTGTGGAGATCCATAGCGGCAGGTACGAGGGACACGATACAAATTTCCGGTACTGATTCTCTACGATTCAAGCATCACCAAAAGCATATCCGATAGGCTTCTGCGCCTTCAATGATTTAGTGATCAGAGGCAGCATGCAGAAGCACAAGAATATACACAAAGCAACTTGAACTTCTCCTGACGGAAACACCACACACCAGAGAGACTTCATCTCAATGTTGCTCAAGGAAGTGGAGACGCAACCTGCTGGACACAGTCGAGAAGGTAAGCATATGTGGTCTCACTGAAACCATCACATAGTCCAAGGAACTTTCTAGGTCAAGCTGAATCCTCCAGAAAAACTAGAGACAGGCCGCAATTCAAGTTCAATATTCAGAAACTGAAGGACAAAACTACAAAGGATACCTTCACTACATTTCAGATGAGAGCAAAGTCAGAGACATTGCGTGATATCACCGAGGAAATCGGCGTGGAAGAACACTGGAACTCTCTGAAGGTGATGTTCAAGAAAACATGTACAACGGTTCTAGGAAGACAGAAGAGACAAGACAAAGAATGCCTCTCAACGGACACCTGGAAGCTAATAGAAAAGAGAAAGATGATGAAACAGAGATGAACCAATTCAGACAAACGGACAAGAGAAGGAGAAGCTAAGTTCAATGTACACTGCACTGAATAAAGAAGTGAAGAAGAGTGCTAGGAAATACGAAAGACAATTTGACAACATACTGACCGGCAACTGAAGCAGAACAGACAGGGTGCAGGTAAAAGAGACCTCAGAACATTATATCAGATAACCAGGTCATTATCCGGAAAGAGATCAACGCAGGTGAAACCAATAAAAGATGCTCAAGGGAACCTGATTATCAAGGAGGAGGAACAAATAAAACAACAACAAATCGACCATCACCCTCAATTCGTCTAGAAATACACCACCGCCACCAACACGCACAGAACTGCCTGACAATTGACACTAATCCTCTGACGAAATCAGAAACCCTGAATGCGATCAAGCTACTGAAGTCCAAGAAGGCAGCAGGGACAGACGGAATTTCTCTGCCCCGAAGCACTGAAAACGGACCCAGAGACTGAGATAGATGTGCTCACGTCATTATCGCAAAAGGTTTGGAAGGAAGGAAAGGTGCCTACCGATTGGAAGAAAGACTACCTTGTTAAGCCACCAAAGAATGACAACTTACGCCTCACTCTGCAAGAACTGACTGACATGGAAGAATGCTCTTCTCCACACCAAGTAAATACTAAGTCGCATCATCCTGGAGACAATAAAGGATGCACTGAATGCTGAACTCTGCAAACTCACCAGAACAAGCTGGATTCAGGGAAGGCGAATCATGTGCTGATCAAATTGCATCCCTAATATACATCATTATGTGACCTTTTTGTCGCGATTACTGGCCAATTAATGTAACTTACACCACGTGATGGTGACCTTGAATGTTCTTTTTTGTCTGTCACTCTACTTGTATATACATGTAATTAATTGACTGTTCATTTTGTCCGTACCTTCAATACTGTTCGAAACTTTGTAGGATTATTTTTGTCCTACAGATTTAGTCCTTCCTCAATACTGACGACACAGAGTCTTGCTTATAAAGTTAAAGTCAAGTCATTCTGTTTTAACTATAGCTAAGCTAAGACTCTGAGTCGTCAGTATTCAGGAAGGACTAAATCTGTAGGACAAAAATAATCCTCCCTACACATCGTCATCACAAAACAGAGCATGGAATGGCAGTCAAACCTGTACCATGACCTCATCGACTTTGAAAAGACCTTTGACAGTATTGGCGGAGAAGTAATTTGGAAACTGCTTCAACACTTCGGCGTCCAAAGCTCAAGTCCTTATCAACCTCATTTAACCAAAGCTATATGACAACGGTACGTATCAGGTGATCCACAACGGGAAAGTCAGCAAGGTGTTCGAAGTGAACACAGGAGTAAGATAAGGCTGACTAGCTGCCTACAATCACCGATGATATTCCTGATTGTGGTGGACTGGATTATGAGTGAGACCATGCACAGGGAGTGAGAAGACAGGAATACGCTGCACGGACCAATGAGAAGACTCTAGAAGATCTGGATTTCACGAGTGGATGATTGATGTTTAATGTCACACAGACTCGAAATCTTGCAGCCAGACAGGCTGCCTGGCTGGTTGGTAGCGAGGACAGGACTCATCCAGGTGAACATGGGGAAGGTGGAGATGAAGGCGATGAAGACAACCAACCACCACCAACAGTGACAGCAACAACAACTAGCACCAATCACCATCAACGGGAGAGATTTCACATAGGTCACTTCCTTCCTTCGCCTGTCTAGCAAGTATCGCTTCAACCATGGGCGTCGTGATGGATGAAGATGTCAAAGCATGTCAGCCAGAGTCGGAAAGGCAATCAGCACACCTTCATCAAACTGAAATCAATCCGGAAATCTTCTCAGACAACGTGAAGAAAAAGATTCAGTTTTTCGAAACAAATGTGAAGTCGGTCAGACAGTTCTTCTGCATGAGTGAGAAACGTGTCTAGTGAATCACGGAAAGGATTTTCAACAGGCAGCTGCAGACTTTAATCAACAACTGTCTTCAACAGCTGGCTCCATACTGAAGATCGAATGGCCGGCCAGCCGGTGACCCTAGAAAGACTTAGCAACGAGAAACTCATCAGTGGAACAAATCAGCGGAGAGCCTATTGCTGAAAAAATGTGTAAGAGGAAATGGAGTTGAATAGGGAATACGTTGAGGAGATCATCGAATGACATGGTGCACCAGTCAGGTGATCACTGGAGTGGAATTCGGACGGGAAGTTACGAGTGTGTCATCGGTGCAAGGGTGACATGAAACCATTCAAAACCTATTTCTCAACACATTTACAAAATGAAATGGAGACAGATTGGAAACACAATGTGGGGCGGCTGGTAGGAATCAAGAGATATCACACGCCAGATTGCCGACTGTACCTTGAATGGGGAAGCAACTATTTGGGTGTAAGTCCAAGGGCAATGTGGACTAGATCATGTGAACAGCAACTGACAGCTTGTTAACAATTGTAGATCTAGTCGAAATCTACCGGAAAAAAGTGAGGGCAATAGAAAAATGCAAGTGAAACTCCATGCTCAACTTGGTTCGAAAGAAAAGAATAATTATGACAATATTTGTCTTTATTTATTTTAAACACAAATCATAACACCACTATTTTTGCTTTTTATTTGGTTTTCTTTATCAGGATTTTGATGAATCTGATCTGGACTATACTCGATCTATGATTCTCCAAAATTGGGATTTCAATAATGATGGGAAAATCAGCCTAGAAGAAATGCGAATGTTACTCCTAGCTTACAGTTCAAATGATTCAAGAAGAATAAATTATGGAACCAGTGGTAAAAAGTCAGTGAATAAGCTGAACTCAAGAGGTTCCATAGCGGATACAAGTGATCGTCAGAATTTTTCTAAAGCTACTTGGTCTAAAAAGAAATAAATTGATGAATGAAATAACAACAGTAATTGGTGGAGTTCGATTCTTATTTTGTGATTTGACATTTTCTCCTCATTGAGTAAATATATTTCATTTGTTAAAAACTGTAAAAGAACTTATTAAATAATAACCATTTAGTTGATTACGTAACTTTCTTTTTGGTCAGTAAACTAAGACACATGTACTTCTTTGCAAACTGTTTTGTGCGACTGTTTTTTATAATAGAATAGCAAACTACTGAATAACATTTTAAGTAGTTCAACTGTTCGAGCGGAAATACATGAATAGCTCGAAAATAATTCAAAGTCTACAAATGAACGTCATGTAATTAGCACATATTTCAAAAATTAGTTAGAGCATTTGCATGTGAAATGCTGATTTTAGAGTAGTTCTTTTGACAAAACTCAAAAAGAATAAAAGTAATATGCCTTATTTGTGATGCATTTTAACGCTCAGAAAAAATGAATATAATTCTACACTTTGATTTGCTTGTTTGTCAAAAATAGAGTTAATCTAAAAGAACATTTCTTAGGAACAACAGAACGGCATCCAAACTCTTCTACCCAACTTTCCATAAAGACTTAGGAAGCTTTTTCAGCTTGAATATCAGGAGTAGGAACAGCTTTCAGCCAACGAATGAAGCTGTCTACTTGTTTCGGAAGACGAGAGTGTTCATTAGAATGTGGAAGTGGACCGGTAGTACCGACATGAACAGTGGCTTTGTATAAAAGTACATGGTCGCTTTCGGGTGTTATTATGAATAAGTGACGAAATGAATCTTGCTGATGTTAGCTTTCCTTTAGCATTAGGAAGGATTGTCTGACGTAAAGATAATGTGGCCGAACTTCCAGGGTTCCCTTTTGAAGTATGGCACAGTATGATATTCTTGCTATTTGTGAGTGATGTATGCTCTGTCTTCAGCGATATATTACGTCCGAGTCCAATCACACCAGTCAGAATCTTGAAATTTGGCCATTTTTCGCAAGACAATAGCTTGCATTGTAGTAATTTAAATGTATGACCATACAGGGTTATTTACTTTGAAGGTATGGAGGATATCTGACAAGGACTGCAAAATATAAACAACTGACTTCATCCATGCGAAGATGGTTTGCTCAGGGTTGTGTGCAGCGCGTGCTTGTGATCAGTGAAGATAGAAAGCTGTCAAAGGTGTTAATGCCTAACATTTCGAAAAAAGAGTAATCCACTTTTTTACGTAGACAGCTTCCTGAAAAAGCAGGTGGGACAATATGTCGTCCATGTCGTCCTCTAAAATGCGCCTCCGATAGCCGTGTTAGATATATAAGTGGGTGCGTGCTGCCGACGATTCCCAAACTGGGATGAAACAGCAGCTGTCCAGTACTCCCTGGTTTTCAATGGTTCTCTAACTGATATCAGTCCGTGATCAACTCGTAAAAATATAACAAACCCTTACAAACCAAACTATTGAAAATTAGATATATCAGCTGTGAGGAAGCCTCACATCTTTTTCCGTCTAAATATAGGTATCCTTATGGTTATTTTGGTTTTTTAATGCTCCCAAATCCTGTATGGTAGGAACTGGGCAGTCATCTTAAATTGTTTGGGTGTTGAGATTCCTGCAGTCACCACTTGTCTCCAGTCCATGCCATCATTTTTGGATACTATATTCAAATTTTAAGACAGTTGAAGACAATCTGGAGTATTTTCAAACTTCATCTTCGCGACCTGCTGTTTATCTGGAGTCTGCCTACAAGGGTTCACGAAATAATGGAGGCCGGTTGTCATAACCTGAGAAAAGATATTAGCAGTGAAATATTCAATCAAGAAATTATTAAATCGCAGATGCGAAAGAACTGGAAGCGTCCGACTTGGAGCTGAGATAGAAAGAGATTGCCGACAGCGAAGTGTGATTGTTATTTGTGATAGTAGTATTTGTATTTCGCAATGACCGAATTACAGGAACTCAACCAAAACACTGAGAGGGATGAATTTAGGAATTTGTATTTGGCGGAATTATATTTCAAATCAAAATAATAAATATATTAACAAACAACAGTAAGTATTTAAACAATACAAAGATAGAAATTGTCAATCACCACATCCGCCACATGTCGAATGTCTCCTTGCGTATTTATAATGAGGTCTCGGTTTGCTTGCAAGTCTCTGGGATCTTCTAACTGATTCTGTGATATTATTTTCATCAGTATCATCTGGACTTATTTCTGAATTATCTACAATATCAGGATTAGTAGCGGAATCATTAAAATTATAATCGGAACGACCTACTTCGTTTATTCTCACTTGATCCAAGTGTCTGTTATGAATTGAATGATCTTCGATGTCTAATATTTTCACCATTCGATTTCCCATTTTTTGTAGTATGATTCCAACAGAAGGTCTATAGTCATTCCCTCTGTAATAATGTACATCAGAAGTCGTAGACATTAGGTGCTTTCTGAGAATTCGAGATTTGAACAGTTTAGCAGGACTTTCATGGGTACTTGTATGCTCTGCATTGCGATATTGAAGTAGGAAGTTATCTACACATCTCTCTAGCTCATCAAAATTCTTAGGACTCATTGATGCTATGGCACTCTTTAATGTTCGTACGAAATTTTCTGCCAAACCGTTTGACTGAGGATGACGTGGTGCTGTGTACAGATGACGGCAACCTATGTGTTTAAGCCAATCATTGAAGTTCTTCTCAGTGAAATGAGTACCATTATCAGTAACTAAGACATCTGGAATTCCTTCTCGACTGAAAATCTTTCTCAACGCTCTGTGAGGGAATTTCGCACTAGGACTATCTGTAATTATAACTTCTGGCCATCTAGAATAAGAATCCACAATAATTAAAGCATAGTATGAATTTAAGAATGGACCACAGTAATCTGCATGAATACGCTGCCAAACCTCACAAGACGTAGGCCACGGTTTCCACGACGACTTCCCATAGGACATTTTATGCAAACAGCTGGAACAGCTCTTCGATCTTTTGTTAATGTCAGCATCAATTTCCGGCCACCAACATGTTAGACGTGCTAATGATTTCATCTTATCAGCTCCCAGATGCGCAGAATGAAGATCATCCAAAATCGCAGATCATAATGTCGGAGGAATAATAATTCTGTCATTCAGACATAGAAATCCTTCAGGATGGACTGAAATCTCATCTCTTCGCTTATAAAAGTCCGGAAATCTTCGCTTACACTGAATATTCCAACCTCTTTTTGTTGCATTTATAATGCACCCGTAATATTTCCGAGTATCGTTTATAAGTCGAACTCTATCCACAGGTAACGGCTGGACTAACAAACAATCAGTGTCATTAGCAGAATTTTCAAATAATGAATAACGAGATAAAAAGTCTGCATGAGGTATATCCTTAGCCGATCTGTGTTCAATAGTGTAATCATATGCACTTAGTTCTAAACTCCATCTTTGAACCATAGCAGCAGATGATCTATTCAAAGATTTTTCTGGGTTGTAAATGAATTTCAAAGCCTGATGATCAGTAACTATGTGAAACTTAGTACCAACGAGATACTTGTGCAAGCGTCTTATTGCCCATACAACTGCTAGAGCCTCTTTCTGGGTTTCTGAGTACCCTTGTTCACTCTTACTTAGACGTCTTGAAATACAAATAACAGGTTGTCCATTTTGCTCAAGTACTGCAGCTATACCCGTAGGAGAAGCATCTGTAGTGAGAACGGACTTATCTTTCGATGAAAAAGGTCTTAAGAAAGCTTGTTTATTAAGAAACTTCAAAGTTTTTCGCAAGATATCTTCATGTACGCCGACCGGGATTCGAACCCAGGACCTTCTGGTTACAAGGCCAGCTCGTAGACCATTGAGCCACTGGGAGCATGGAGCATGGCACGGGACGGACGCATGGCTGACTACGGCCACACTGCAACGCTTGCAGGCCTATGGGGGCTTGCAAACCAAACACAAAGAAGAATTTGGTAAGTCTTCTATCCTTTTACATTATATCTTATTATTTTTATTCATGTTTAGGCCAGATTTCGGACTTAGCTAGCTTCATGCTTACTATGCTAGGGCACTTAGGGCCGAGACTTGCAATTTTCCTTAGGGAGGCCAGGACCTAGAGAAGCTATATACCAATGGATAGCCCTCGATGAGATCTATCCACTACCACCAGTCTCAAGGACACATAGCTTCTCCTCGGCCGACTAGGGATTTTCAAAGACTAGGGAGGATACTCTGTCTCTTGGCCTGTAGGTCATGCTACAGGCGTAGCTCCTGACACTTTTAGCTCCGCAACATTAGGTTGTATGCTATGGCATAGGTCTGTAATAGGCAGCATCAACCTCAGGGACACCAGAGAGGCGGGAACGGCTACGCAGGGAAACCCCGGTATTTTCCTTAGGAAGAGCGTTGACCCCTTGATTTATATACCATTGGATTCTGCTCGACGAGAGGAATCTATTGGTACTAGTCTCGTCTCTGTAGGGCTTACGGTTGCGGAGACATGGTAAGGTAAGTAAGATAAGGTAAGTAATATAAGTCCACCTTAGGGAGACAACCCTTAGGGAACATCGCTCTAGGAGAGGAGATAGTTCCCACCAGGAACTATCAAACACAATACTGGGTAGATGGAGCTCATAAGTCCAGAAAGACAGTCCATCTTCGGGAGACAACCCTGAGGAAAAATCGGTCTTGGATAGGAGATGGGTGCCACCAAGACCTATCAAACCCAATACTGGGCAGATGGAGCTCATGAGTCCTGAAAGACAGTCCATCTTCGGGAGACAACCCTGAGGAAAAATCGGTCTTGGAGAGGAGATGGGTGCCGTCAAGACCTATCAAACCCAGTGTAATGCTATGATGAGAACAATATCAGTAAACGCCATGCCGGATCGGTCGGGGCCCGGTTTAACAACGACCGCGCTTTCTGCTGCCGTGTCACAGGGCAGAAGTGATAAGTTAGCTACTGAGACACACCGACTAATAAAACTCCCAAATGCTGACACAGTCATAGGAACATGGAATGTTCGAACGCTTTATGCCTGTGGGAAAGTAAAAGAACTGACCCATGAACTCAGTAAATACCGATGGGACATCCTAGGCTTATCAGAAGTTAGGTGGACAGGCTCGGGAGTAACAACTACAGAAGAGGGTCATAAGATATGGTACAGTGGG